TTTCTATCGAGATGTTTCCATTTATCATAAAAAAAAAAAAAAAAAATAGAACGCATTCGACAAGAATAAATCAGTGAAATAAGTGGAAATTTAATGTAATTAGTCATCGAAGCGAAAAAAAAAATTCTAAAAATAAATTCTTAATAATTTAAATCTCGTTTTTAATGAGATGCTAAATGTGGGGAGAAGGGAAATAAAATGATTTCTGCATAAGAGAAAAAAAAGAGTTTTTAAAAAAATAGTAAAAATAAGAATTTAAGAAGATATTCTATAAAAAAAAATAGATAAAAAAGATATTAGAAAAACAAGAGACTTTCTGAATAATAATTTAGTATATTTTGATTAAACTTTGTTTTCAATAAATATCAAATATAAAATGAAAAAAGAAGAGAAAGAAAAAAAAATTTTTTTGGAAGAATAATTATATATTACATTTAATTAAGATTTATTTCCAATAAATCATTAACTTGGAAAAAAAAAAGAACTAAGAAAAGCTAAAAAAAATATTCTTCTGATATAATTTAATAAAAAAGTTAAGAATTAAATTCATGTTATCACAATAAAATAAAATTCTAAAAAAACCAGTTTATCTTATTATTATTTTTCAATTTTCTTTATTTGTACTGAAATTTTTGATTGATAAATGAATAGTATTAAGTATCTATATTAGATAACTATAACTAACTATATTATTAATCCAATTAGAATGAATTAAAAATGTATAAGGTAAGATAAAGATATATAAAAATATATAATAAACTTAATAATTTATGATATTTATATAAATATTAAAAAAGATTTAAAAGATTTCTTTTATCATTATTATATATAATTAAAGAAAAATCTAAGCTTTGAAAGAGTTTTTTGGCATTATTGATTAATTAATCCAACTAGTGGAAAACTTTGAAATTCCTTAGGCACCATTTGCATGGAAGATTATTCGCGAAAGAATGTTCATTCATTTCACGAGCCATATCGACAATCACGAAATTCTCAAACGTTCATTTTATAATCAAGAAAGGAAAAAAGAAGAGATTTTCTCCTTTTTTTTTTTTAAATTTATTATTTATTATTTAGAGATGAAAAATTGCTCGTAGATAACATTCCATTTATATACCAAAAAAGGATTTTCGACATACTGATAAAATATCTAAATTATAGAATATTTAAGTTATAATTAGTTATAATATATATATGTATTTGTAATAGGAAAAACATTTTATATATTTTGAAATTTTAATAATTGACATTTACAGAATTGTATTAAAAGTTATTTTCATTTTATTCTATTATTTTAATTTTATATCAATTTATTTATAATTTTCATTTTAAATTTTTATTTCTAATTGCAGTCTAATTCCAATTTTAAATTAATAAAAAAAATTATACATATATTTATTATAAAAAAAGAATTAAATTGTTCTTGAATTTGACAAAAAAAAATTCTTCAAAGAATTTTTAAATTTTTCATTTTAAAAGGGAGTAAATTGAATCATTCCTCGCCATTTAATGAATGCACATAAATTTTCCACTCTTCCACATGTAAACGGATGAAACTTCGCTCCTCAAGGAACTAAACTGATCCCTCAGATTATGCCAGGCTTTTTGAATAATTATACCAATTTTTACTGCGTATCATTGAAGCTCAATTTGCATTTCATCTCAGCAACAAGTATTCTTGATTGCTTTTAACTTCCATCTAATTACCTGATTTGAGAAGAAATTGTCTGTCTAAAAAAGAAAGGAATCGAGATTGCCCAAGGCTAGACAAGCATTTAGTTCTTAATAATTGAATATTATTTATGTTATTTTAATAATTTTTTATGTTTTTATATTTTAAAATTTAAATGAAATTTTAGAAATTAATTAATTAAGTTTAGAAATGGATTTCAAAAGATTTTTTTAATTTTCAGATTTTAAAATTCTTTGTAATTTCTACTTTTTCATATTTTTTTAAAGCTTAATGCATATTAAATGATCTTTTAATCGTGGCTTTAAACATTTTTGATGTAGATTATAAAAACTATTTTTAAAATGTAAATTTCTTCAGGAATTTTTGCAACCAAAATTTTTTATATTCTGGAAATCTTAGAAATCTTCTGGAAAATTAATTGATAGATTTTGGAAATAAAATAGCAAAATGTAATTGAACATTTCACAAATTGTAATAAAGAATTGTAATAAAGAACTAATTATGAAACTTATTAAGATTTCAATAATTAATATTGAAATTAGTATTGAAATAGTAAGTTACAAATTAATATATGACAAGAATTTTATGTTAGAAACAAGAAACAAAAAGAAACAAGAAATTCAAGCCAAAATTGAATTTGGATTTTTATTTTAAATGAAAATCATCAATCACAATTTCTCAATTTATACTCAAGATTTATAAAAATCTGAATAAATATACAATTCGAAGAAAAGAATAAAGAATTCTTGAAAGATATAAAGAAGAATCTGAATCAAATATTTAAATTAAAATTTATTATTAATAATAAGAAGAGTCTTATTATTATCTTTAAATCTTAAAAATCAAAATTTAAAATCAAAAAAAAAGTTAAATTATTTAATTAACATTAAAGAAAAAAAGAAAGAAGACGAGATTTTTGGGAAACTCATAAATCACAATTTCTATCCAATCACTAATTTCTTTAGAAAAACTACAAAAGCCAGTACTGCAAATAACAGAATCACAACCTTGAGCCATCTACGATCTCTAGAAATGTAATACA